GCCTTGCTGGTGCAAGATCAGGTGATCGTTAGGGCACGTGGAACGGATTTGGCCCCCATGGTGTCACTTCTTGTCTATTTGCGATCTTGGATGTCCGATCTTCGAGTGGCATTAAATATCCGATTGATCTTGGATTAAGTTCAGATATATTCGATGACCTCAGGATGGCACCACGGCTCCACCACGACCCACAGACGCCAGGCTTTCGCGAAGCGAAAAGAGCAAATAGTCAGAGGCATCGTTGGAAGGGTCGCGAAACCACAGAAACCACTTACACGATTTCGGAAATCCTGAATCTAAAAACGTTGTGATGACTTGGGGACGCATTTTTTACTTCCGCCAGTTTCCGCCCGCGGAGGCGGCCTCGTTTTATTTCCGCCGTTTTTCCGCCGCCCTTCCGCCGCCTTCCGCCGAGGAAGAAATGACAATTCCTTCGATCCTCCAAGGCAAGGCCTTTCTTGGAACGCGTCAGTTGGTCAAGGCTAACCCCCGTCCGTCCTCCTTCCTCGTCTGGAGACACGAGCACTGTCTGGACCACTTCAGGCTTTTAACTGTTCTTCTGACTTTTCGACATGGTCACCACCTCCAAGAGGTATTCCGTGACAGTTTCATTGTGCCGTTGCACAGCTATTGCCCCAAGGAAAAAAAAAAAAAACAAAAAAAAAAAAAAAAAAAGGTCAAGGCTACCCCCGTCCCTTCCCGCCCCCCCCCCCCCCCCGTCACCACCCCGCACCCCAGGAAGGCAGCAGCGACGACGACGCGGAACCGCAGGAGGCACGGCGCCCCCCCTCCCCCTACCCCACTTCCTTCTGTTCCTCCTCCTCCTCCTCCTTTTCTTCCTTCTCCTCCTCTCCTCCTCATCCTCCTCCTCCTCCTCATCCTCCTCCTCCTCATTCTCCCCCTCCTCCTCATCGGCATCCTCCCCATCCCTCGTCCGTCTCTCCCGCCCACGTTCTCTTCTTCCTTCGCCTCCGCGTCTTCGTCATCCTCTTCTTCCTCGTTGCCCTCCCCTTCCTCCGCTTCCTCTTTCTTTTCCTGTTCCTCCTCATCAGCAGCTTCATCGCCTTGTTCTCCTTCTTTTCTAAATTCCTCCTCATGCGAATCCGTGCTGTCCTTCTCATTAGGCCAATATTTCGCACCATCGTGTTGTCCTCGTTCCTCATCCTCCCAAAGCATAGTTCCCATATTTCTGTTAGTGCTCCCCCTCATAATCCTCCTCATCGTCCTCCTCCTCCTTCTCCTCCTCCTCCTCCTCTTCTCCCTCGTCCGTCTTTTTTTCTCTCTCTCTCTCTCTCTCTCTCTCTCTCTCTCTCATCCTTCACGTCCTTGAGGTCACCCTCCATCTCTTCCCAGAACGATACTGACGGGGAGCGCATTCGAGAGGTTCAGAGTCCCGATGTGGGGCCCAAAACCCGCGCGAAGTCCACAGGCTGTGGAACCATCTGCGCGTTGTGTGGTCTCCCAGCTCATTGTGCTCCGCTCGGTGCTCTGATCTGACTGTGTCAGCGTTGTCCATCGGTGCACGTTGTCCGCACCTGAGGGAGACTCGGTTAAGAGACCCGACTCGCGCATTGTAATACAGTAGGGGCGCGCATCAAGAAACCATATGCTGTTCGCCAGGGTGTCCTGGGTTTCTTCGCTCCTCGCGCCGCGCGGCGACTTCCCGCAGCCGTTGAAGGAGCGTTCAGGGTGCTCCAGGTTTCCCCTCAGGTGCACCTCGCGCACGGGTTCTCTGGGCTGGGTTTCTTGCGAGGGTTTCTTGCGGCCGCGCCCGCACTGTACACGCTACGGTTATGTTGAAGGGTACCTCGTCGGTCGCGTGGCTCCGGTCGAGGCCCACAAAGATATCCTTGAGGATGGCATTTCTTCGTGTGAGAAGTTTCTCCGCTCAGGCAATGCAGACGTACACTTAGGCGCCAAGCATGCGCTCCAGCTCCTTCCTTCGGACCCCATAGATATGGAGAAAATTGGCGAAGTTGTGAGCATTTATGTGCTGTGTGTACTAATGCTGCCAATGTTCTTACAAGTTGGTTTAAACTCTCCGCGGGTAAGCCTAGAACTCCTGAGGACTAAGCCCCAGCACCAGTGACGGGAGTGGTCTGGTGTTGGAAGGTGTGCGCGTTCTGAATGGGTCTCGATCACACGTTTGCTCCATCTCAGGCCACTGTCGGACAGGCTTTAAGGCGGACGACTATGGATTGCAGTGGCTCGGCCATGAAGTTTAATCGTGCAATGATGTCCCCGCCATCTTCATCTGCATTAAGTACAAGTACCACCCGGCTGGCGGCATGATTAAAGGCGTGGGGATGAGTGTCACGGTCAGCTTTCTCGCCTTGGTATGATTGGTTAGCGCGCCTTCTGTAGCGGCCGCCACACTCACCTACGCAGAGCCCGTGTGTCCGCCAAGGTGGACAATGTGTCGGAACTCTGTGATTTCCCTCTCAGTTGCTTGCGCCTGGGCGGCATGTGCTGTTTCAGCTGCCCCACACATGCTACGAGGAGTAGCAACCCGGTGACGTCATTGTGGAGCAGCGTCGAAACACGAAAAAGTATCCCCCCTTTCTCAGATTCCTCGTTGTCCTCGTTATCTGGATCCTCCTTATCTTCTTCCCCTTCCCTCCCCTTTACTCACTGCCCCATCCTCCCCAGTCCCCTCCTGCTCCTCCTTCGCCTTCTCCCCCTCTATTTTCGGTGGGGCCATCCTGATATGCAACAGTCGCGGTCATCACTCAGATGGTTTCGTTACCACCGAATTGACGAATGAGATCGGTATCCGACCACACCTCCTCCCGACATTCTTCACACTTGGCGCAGGATTGTGTTCGCAATATTACAACAATGTTGCTTACACCGTTGGTAGTTCTGCATTTGACTCCGTATTCCCTCCCCTTCGTCCTCCCCTTTCTTCTCCCCCCGCCATCCGCCCCCCCCCTCACCCTCATCCTTGAGTCGGTGCATTCATGGAGATTTTCTTCAGTGCCTCTGGGGCTCTCTCTCGCACTGGCTCTCTGGGGGCTCCCCTCGTGGGGCCCTCTTTACCCCCTCTGCGCACGGCCCAGATCGTGCTGCAGTGTGAGTGTTCCATCGCTTCTGCTCAGGGAGTCGTGAGCCTGCACAGAGCAGTCAATATGAGGACACCCTCCTCCTCCTCCTCCTCCTCCTCCTCCGCCTCCTCCTCCTCCTCCTCCTCCCTCCTCCTCCTCCTCCTCCTCCTCCTCCTCCTCCTCCTCCTCCTCCTGTGAAAACCCGATGCGGAAGGCTCGCGAGGCGCCCGCGCACGAGCCACACAGTGTGCCGCGCACCGTGCCGTGCTTTGACAGGGATGGCGGGCCTGCACAGGGCGGACGAGACGAGGGCACCCCCGCCGTCCCCGTCAGAAGCCGGTGCGAGGTGCTCACGGGACGCCCCTGCACGGCCCAGAGGGTGTTTCAATGTGAGGTGCACCGGGCAGGTTTTTGCTGGCACGCCCCCCCTCCTGGCCTTGACGTGAGGCCCCTGCTTCTGCCCCCCTCTCTGTTAATTCACGCTGTGCGCGGCCCGCTTGGCTTCGACCGGAAGAGGTGCGCTCTCGACCCGCGAATCAAAATGATTTCGCTGGCAGGGATGGCGGGGGGGCGCCCGCGTTGTCCCAGGTTTGTCGCTGGTCGGGTGGGGGAGGGGGTGTACAGTCATAAGGAAGAGTGAGGCATCTTTCTTCGAAGAGGAAGGAGGCAGTTGGAAGAGAAATGCGCTAATTTGTTCACGCCTAAAAGGGGGGGGGAGGCGGGGCTCGATACTTTGAACAGAAGCCTCCCCGCTTCCCCCGCACAAAACAGCAGCACCACCATCATCCTCGTCACAATCATCTTCCGTAGCCAGTTGGGGTCAAGAGGGAGACTGAGCCACCCGTGTCGCCGTGACCACCCGCTCAGCCGGAATGATGCGAACACCAGTTAGTTGCACCACACATATTTCACAACATAAAAGTGTACCACATATATTGTTCCACATAGGGTGCATCACAACAGGTGTTGCATCACATAGGTTGCACCACCTGGATTAAACCATTTAGATTGCACAACATAGAATGCACAACATAGACTGCTAAAAACAGAATGTCTGGGGTCGACACTGGCAAACATCGTAACAACGCGGATTACACCGTTCATAGTTATGCATCCCTGCTCTTGGGGCTATCCCGGGGTCCTCTTGGGCCACCTTGGAGCCATTTTGAGGGTTTTTAAATTTATCGGAAGCGAAAATGCGAGATGGCCAACGTCACATCCTTGCCGTAGGTTTGGGAAGGATTCGTGCCTCTGAAAGGGGGCCCTCCTTGGAGAGCTCCGTGACCACATGGGGCCGTCTTGAGGCGGTTTTCAGGCATTTTGCAGCAGATTCGACGCTATCTTGAGCCATGTCAAGATAGTTTGAGCCGTCCTGGAAACCATCTTGGGCTATCTAGAGCCCTCTTGGAGCCGTCTTGGGCGGTCTAACCCCTCGCGGGGCGCCCCGTCGAATCAATGCAGACGCCAGCCAGGTGCGCGACGCCCGCGACGTGTGCCGCGCGTGCCATCGCCATCACAACCATCACCGTGGCCATCATCCTCGTCACAACCCTCTTCCGTAGCCATTTGGGCTCAAGAGGGAGTCTGAGCCACCCGTGTCGCCGTCGCCACCCGCCCCGCCAGAAGGATGCCGCAGGCGCAGTGGACCGAGCAGGGCGCGGGGCGGTCGCTCCGGCTGCTGGCCTCAGACCAGGGCAGTCCGACGCGGCCAGCGCTTCCCCCCGCGCTCTACAGCGAGGTGGTGGCGCCGTTCCTCCGGTTCGACACCGCCGTGCCCGATCAGCTCTACGCCGTCGGAGGCAGGAACGATCGCCAGGAGCCGCTCGACACCGTGGAGATGTTCGACACGTGGCACGGGCGGTGGGAGGAGTGCCCGAGCATGTCCACCAAGAGAGCTGGCTGCGCTGCGGCGGCCCTGCCCGACGGGCGCCTGATGGTGTCGGGCGGCTACGACGAGAGGGGGATCGTCCTGGGGCTGCTGGCCAACAGTGAGGTGTTCGACCCTGCCAAGCAGGAGTGGACCCCCACCGCGATGCAGCTCCAGCGGCCCCGGTGGGGCCACGGCAGCGCGATGCTGGCCGGGAAGGTCTACGCTGTCGGGGGCTGCGCCCTTAGGAATGGCACGCCGCTGGGCGACGACGTCATGGAGACGCTCCGCGACTGCGAGGTGTACGACATCGAAGAGCAGACCTGGTCTACCATCGCCAGCCTCAACGTCGGACGGGCTGGCGGCCGGCTGGTCGTCATGGATGCCCATCGCCTCGCAGTGGTCGGCGGCTGCGACGACGTGTTTGGGCGGGGCGAGATGCTGGCCAGCGTGGAGGTGTACGACACGAGGACCGGCGCCTGGACGATGCTGCGGGAGCAGCTGTCGGTGCCCAGGACCACGCACGCGGCCGCGGCCCTGGACGAGCACCGGATCATAGTCGCGGGCGGAGCCCCGTCTCTGTCTTCCGTGGAAATCTTCGACGTTCCCAGCACCAGCAAGGGCGACGAGGCGGCGGCAACCCAGCAGTCATCGTCCAGCCGCGGAAGCTACAAGGACCTGGGCGACATGGCCGAGGGCCGCATGGGATGCCAGGCGGTGCTCATGAAGCTGCCCGCGGACGGGAAGAGTTATCCGCTCTGCACGAGGCCCTGCGTGGTGGTCGTGGGCGGCGAGAACGGCGAGGAGGACTTGGACGACGAGCAGGCAACTGCCCGGCAGTTCGACAGCGTCCTCGTCTACGACCTTGAGGAGAGCCACTGGAGGCCCGAACGGTCCTTCCCGCCGATCCCGACTCCCCGCACGGCGATGACGCTGTGCGTGGCGTCCGGGCAGGTGCGCGGGCACGTGAGCTGAGGCAGCCAGAGTTAAGACTCCAATCTGAGTCTGCAGATGTTAGCGAATTTGGCGGGCAGAGTTCGGTGCGCGTAGGCTCCTGCTGCTTCTCTTTCTCCTCTTCCTCTTGCCCAATCACCCTCTCACCCTCCCTGACACCTGCCTGCGGCACCGACTTCGACCAGATCAATTTTTGGACCGCCGTAAAAGGAACGCATGTGCCCGCCTTCAACCATAGGAGCCTCGTGCACGGTCTACCCGCTGCACCATTCGAATTCGTTGTTTACGTTTGACAGATACTTTTTTACACTGGAGTCGTTCGGTGATACTTGGTTATGCCATTGCCACGAGCCACACGTGCAATTGAAGCCGCAGGACAATTGCAACGCATTGCATGGAAAACATTTGCAAATCCCCCCAGCTCGGCTCCCCAAAACACGTGTGGCTTCTGGTAACTGTTGATTGTGAGGCGCGCGCTGCCTATGCCGCAGTGGCCGCGACTTGGGCGTAGTGAGGAGCACCTACACATCAGTGGCTCAGTCGTTAAGTGACAGATTTTCCGTGCAATGATGGCTCCACTCTTTTTTTCATGTGCGCCAAGTGTCAGTTCCATTCGATTGGCGGCATGATCAAAAGCTTAGGGATGAGTGCCACCATCAGCCCTCACGCCATGCTATGACAGGTTGGCGCGCCCATTGTAAAGGCCGCCACAATCACCCACGCAGAGCCCGTGTGTCCGCCAACGTGGACAATGCGATGGAGCTCTTTAATTCCCTCTCAGTTGCATGCGCCTGAGCGGTTTTGTTTACAACTTTGCAGTGTTGTCCCACACATGTTGCAAGGAGTGGCACCCGAGTGCTGCCTCGGTGGGGTAGCCATCGAGTCGAAAGAATGTCCGACCCACGAACCCAGAAAGGGATACAGAAATGTGGCACATGGGAATGTTTCAAGACACCAAGTTTGGGCGACGGGCAATTGCAACGCTCGAGGTAGCGATGGTGATATGCCGTGCCAGGGGCTGTGTTGCGCTGTGCCGTGCTGCATTAAAATGTGCATTGTTGCATTGAATTGTGCTGTGCTGTTTTGCGTGTGGATCAGGTCGCTCTTGCATCAAAATCCTGACCGCATTGATCTAGGTCTTAAGCTCGAGCTGCCTGAACGCATAGCACGAGCTGGCTGCAGTCAAATCGCGCGGCAAGACGAACCGAAGCAATACAGACCGAGGCGAAGGCCGCACCCGGACGAGCCGAATACGCTTCGGCTCACCATCCAGCAGCCGCATGGCGTCTCCTGATGAGGGCGCCGCACTCCGAGGGGACAAGGCCCCTCGCAAATAGCCAGGGCTGCGATCTTGGCGTAGATTGCGATTGGTCCGTGCTGTGATGCTGCGTCGAGCCGTGCTGTTCTCTTTTGCGGCGTGGATCGGCTCTGTGGTGCCTCGCTATGCTGCGATGTGATTCCCCACATGGTGCTTCGAGCATCGCGCCGCGATCGTGCCATGCTGCGACGCTGCCGCCAAGGGACGCGCCGCGGGACGCGCCAGGGGGCCGCGCCACGGTACGTGCAAGGGGACGCGTTGCGGGGCGCGCCAGGGGACGCGCCGAGGGACGCGCCGAGGGGCGCGCCAGGGGGCATGTCGCGGGACGCGCCAAGGGGCGCGCCACGCGACGTGCCAGGGGAAACGCCACCGCGGGACGCGGCAGGGGGGCGCGCCAGGGGAACGCCACGGGACGTGCCAAGGGTCGCGCTAGCGGACGCGTCGGGTGACGTCCCGGGGGGGGGATCCCAGGGGACGCGCCAGGTGACGGGCACAGTGATGTGTCAAGGGGCGCGCCAGGGGACATGCCAGGAGACGCGCCGCGCGCCATGCCAGGGGGACGCGCCACGGAACGTGCCAGGCGACGCGCCATGGGACGTGCCAGGGGACGTGCCAAGGGACGCGCCGCAAACGTGCCAAGGACACACAAGCCAGAGGACGTGCCAGGGAACAAGCTAAGGGACGATCCACCTCGCTCTGCAAGTCGTCTCCGTTGAACCCGCGCTCCCACCGCCACGATCCGTATGAGAGTATTCCGGGTTTGCGTTCCCAGGGCCCCGATCCCTCGTAAATAACGCTGCGCCTGGGCTGGGCTCCCAGGGCCACAGCTGTTTCGGTAAATTGCGCTGCGTCCGCGCTCCCGGGGCGAGGGCCCCTCATGAGTCACACTGGGTTCGCGCCCCCACGGCCAGGATCCTCGTACAGTACGCTGCGCCCGCGCTGCAAGGGCCAGGATCCCTTGTAAATCACGCTGCGCCTGGGGCCCCCGGTACTTCTACGCTGCGTCCGCGCCCCCACCGCAACGATCCCTCGAGAGTCACGCTGCGCTCGCTCTCTCGGGGCCACGATCCCTTGCAAGCTGCGCCAGGCTCCCGCTCCCACGGCATTCGGAGTGCCCAGGGGGCAGTCCTGGGCCTCCATTGGGGCCTCCGTAAGCCCTCTTGATTTACAGATGATGCTGAGCGCAGGACGCGCCATCCCCGAGCACGCCCACGCAAGTCCATAGTTTCGCATGCTCTGAATCTCTGGGCTTCCAGATTATATCGTTTGTTGAGGCGTCTGCGCAGAACGTTCCACCCGTTTCCTTCAGAAGGCAAAACGGAAGTCTGCGGACCCCGGTATTGATCGAGGACCTGAGATGACGCGAAACACATTTTGTCCATTGATAATAAAATTTTATCCTGTATTCTTTTAGTGGAACACTACGAAAAGAGAACCCTGGGCCAAAACCCTTTCTGGGAACATCCTCTCCCCCTTATCCTATTCCTCCTCTTTCTCCTCCTCCTCCTCCTCCACCTCCTCCTCCTCCTCCTCCTCCTACTCCTCCTCCTCCTCCTCCTCCTCATCATCATCATCATCATCATTCTCTTGCTCATCCTCCTCCTTTTCCTCGTTGCCATCTTTGTTATCTTCATGCTTCTCGTCGTCCTCCCCCATCCCCCCCTTGCCGCCTCCCCCTCCTCCTTCTCCTCTGTTTTCTCTCGCCCTCCTCATTCCCATCCTACTCCTCCGCCTTCTCCCTCTCAACCTTCAGTGGGTCATCCTGAGATTCCCCAAACAGGGCTTGCATTTAGGGGTTCCTATCCTTCTCCCTACGGAATTGGTTGGGTCCTGCGAGTATTTTCACCTTTCCGCTTGTTGCCGCCTCGTGCGCTGGGTGGGTCCGGCGAGGTTTCGCCACGTTGCCGCCCGTTGCTACCTCGTTGCCACCTCATGCTTCGCCACGTTGCCGCCTCGCTGCTGCTTCGTTACCGCTTCGTGCGCTGGGTGGGTCCAGCGAGGTTCCGCCGAGCTGCCGCCTGTTACTGCCTGGTTGCCGACTCGTGTGTGTTGGGTGGGTCTGGCGAGGGTTCGCCACGTTGCCTCCCGTTGCCGCCTCGTTGCCACCTGGTGCGCTGGGTGGGTCCGGCAAGGTTTCGCCACGTAACCGCCCGTTGCTGCTTCGTTGTCACCTCTAGCTTGCACCAGGCATGCTGCACCAAATAGTTTACACCACATGTGACTTCCCAGCCAAACCAAGTTCGACACCCCCCCTCCATCCTTTGCAAAAAACACTATGTGCGCACATTCGTTTATCAAAAATCAGAAAGTGTCCATTATCGCCTGCAGGAGAAAACGGAACGAAGTGCACGCGCGCGCGCGTCGTCGTGCGCGCATGCCGAAATCCCTCCGAAATCGTAGTCCCCGTAATTATTTCAAACTCGAGTGCCCCGAACACATATCGAACACTTGGTTTTGCAACATGGGGTTTCGAAGAAGTATGTGCGTTTTGCGAGTTCAAACAATACTTTTGTTTTCAACTTGTTTATTGAATTCGACCAAACGGGCCTCTCGCGCGCGCATGTCGAAATCAGTCGAACGCCCTTGCGCGCGTGCTGGGGGGGGGCACGATCCCTGTCAAATAACACCATGCGGGCCACTCGCGCCCGTCGGCCGCGGGCGCATGTCGAAATCTTTCCAAAACCTTCATCACCGCCGCATGGACACTATCATCGCCCTCGGCGTGATCAGCATCAGCGCCGTCATTGGCCTTGCCGTCGTCATCGTCATCGTCGTCACCAGCATCACTACTATCATCATCGTGTTGGCCGTTACCGACTTCGCCATTATACCGCGCCCGCCCGAGCCACCGACTCGCACGGAAGTGCCCGCGCGTCAGCGTTGTCTGCGAAACGCTTTGGGAAGTCCCCAGCGGTCAGCGCCACCACAGTCGCGTCGGTCGCGCGGCCGAAGCGATGCGCCAGCCAGCGCCAAGCAGTCGTCGCAATCGCCGCCGCATGGATCTTGCAAACCAAATTGTGGGTGGGCGGGTCGGATGGTTGCACGAGCAGTGGAGTTGACATTTCGTTGCGAACAAAAATCTGTTGCACCACACAGGTTGCACCACAAACACTTCACATTAAAGACTGTGCCGCAACATAGATTGCCCCACGTTGATTGCACAACCTAGTTTGCACAACATAGGTCGCACCATTACAATTCCACCACTTATCTTGCACAACTTATATTGCACAACATGGACTGGATAAAACATACGATTTGATGCCCACGCTTGCTAACATTGTAACAATGCGGCGTACATCGTTCATAGTGATGCATCTTTGTTCTTGGGGCCATCCTTAGGCCACCTTAGAACCATCTTGAGGCTTGAAATGTATCGGAAGCAAAGAGCGAGATGGCCAACGTCACATCCTTTCCGTAGGTTTTGGAGGATTCGTGCCTCTGAAAGGGGGCCCTCCTTGGAGAGCTCCGTGACCACATGGGGCCGTCTTGAGGCGGTTTTCAGGCATTTTGCAGCAGATTCGACGCTATCTTGAGCCATGTCAAGATAGTTTGAGCCGTCCTGGAAACCATCTTGGGCTATCTAGAGCCCTCTTGGAGCCGTCTTGGGCGGTCTAACCCCTCGCGGGGCGCCCCGTCGAATCAATGCAGACGCCAGCCAGGTGCGCGACGCCCGCGACGTGTGCCGCGCGTGCCATCGCCATCACAACCATCACCGTAGCCATCATCCTCGTCACAACCCTCTTCCGTAGCCATTTGGGCTCAAGAGGGAGTCTGAGCCACCCGTGTCGCCGTCGCCACCCGCCCCGCCAGAATGATGCCGCAGGCGCAGTGGACCGAGCAGGGCGCGGGGCGGTCGCTCCGGCTGCTGGCCTCAGACCAGGGCAGTCCGACGCGGCCAGCGCTTCCCCCCGCGCTCTACAGCGAGGTGGTGGCGCCGTTCCTCCGGTTCGACACCGCCGTGCCCGATCAGCTCTACGCCGTCGGAGGCAGGAACGATCGCCAGGAGCCGCTCGACACCGTGGAGATGTTCGACACGTGGCACGGGCGGTGGGAGGAGTGCCCGAGCATGTCCACCAAGAGAGCTGGCTGCGCTGCGGCGGCCCTGCCCGACGGGCGCCTGATGGTGTCGGGCGGCTACGACGAGAGGGGGATCGTCCTGGGGCTGCTGGCCAGCAGTGAGGTGTTCGACCCTGCCAAGCAGGAGTGGACCCCCACCGCGATGCAGCTCCAGCGGCCCCGGTGGGGCCACGGCAGCGCGATGCTGGCCGGGAAGGTCTACGCTGTCGGGGGTTGTGCCCTCAGGAATGGCACGCCGCTGGGCGACGACGTCATGGAGACGCTCCGCGACTGCGAGGTGTACGACATCGAGGAGCAGACCTGGTCTACCATCGCCAGCCTCAACGTCGGACGGGCTGGCGGCCGGCTGGTCGTCCTGGATGCCCACCGCCTCGCAGTGGTCGGCGGCTGCGACGACGTGTTCGGGCGGGGCGAGATGCTGGCCAGCGTGGAGGTGTACGACACGAGAACCGGCGCCTGGACAATGCTGCGGGAGCAGCTGTCGGTGCCCAGGACCACGCACGCGGCCGCGGCCCTGGACGAGCACCGGATCATAGTCGCGGGCGGAGCCCCGTCTCTGTCTTCCGTGGAAATCTTCGACGTTCCCAGCACCAGCAAGGGCGACGAGGCGGCGGCAACCCAGCAGTCATCGTCCAGCCGCGGAAGCTACAAGGACCTGGGCGACATGGCCGAGGGCCGCATGGGATGCCAGGCGGTGCTCATGAAGCTGCCCGCGGACGGGAAGGATTTCCCGCTCTGCACGAGGCCCTGCGTGGTGGTCGTGGGCGGCGAGAACGGCGAGGAGGACTTGGACGACGAGCAGGCGACTGCCCGGCAGTTCGACAGCGTCCTCGTCTACGACCTTGAGGAGAGCCACTGGAGGCCCGAACGGTCCTTCCCGCCGATCCCGACGCCCCGCACGGCGATGACGCTGTGCGTGGCGTCTGGCAAGGTGCGCGGGCACGTGAGCTGAGGCAACGGGGGTAAGTCGCCGGCTTGAGTTTGCAGTTGTTAGTTCACTTGGCGGGCAGATTTGGTGCGCGTAGGCTCCTGCTGCTGCTTCTCTATCCCTCTTCCTCTTGCTCCATCGCCCTACCACCCTCCCTCACGCCTACCTACAGCACCGACTTCAACCAGATCAAGTTCAGAGCGCCATGATAGGAACGCATTCGCCTGCCTTCAACCGTAGGAGCGTAGTGCACGGTCTACCCGTTGCACACTTTGAATTCACTGTTTACGTTGAACCGTTTTTTCCACATTGGAGCTATCCAGTGATACTTGGTTAACTCATCGCCACAGGCAACACGTGCAATTGAAGCCGCAAGACCTCGGCAACACATTGAATGGAAAACAACTGCAAACCCCCCCAGCTCGGCTCCCTAAAACACGTGTTGCTGCTGGTAATTGTTGATTGTGAGGCGCGGGCTGTCTATGCCGCAGTGGCCGCGACTCGGGCATAGTGAGGAGCACTTACATATCGATGTTGTGTTTCCTTATGGCGCTCTTTCTGATTCAACGTGAGCCGCCATTCGATTACACCGACCCCGGTCGATGAGGAGGCGGAGGAGGAGGACGAACGAGGATGGTTCAATTCGCGGGGCTCACGATGAATCTTTGAATTCTGTTAACCGCTGCTACCACCCTGATGGGCGACTCCCCATCGTGGCTGGGTGAGGATAAGTCGGCCGCTGGGCTCGGCCAGGCGCGCTCGATCAGAATAAACTATCCCTCCACCCATCGCTCGATCCTCCACTTGCGTTCTCCTCCTCGTCCTCCTTATCCGCCCTCCTGCTCCTCCCCGTTGTCGCCCTCCTCGTCGCCTCTCTGCGCCGGGCGGCGAGCCTAATGCGGCCCAGCCACCCCGTGCTCCCGAGCGTCCCCCCCCCCAGATTTTGGCGGCGCTCCGCGCGGCAGAGCGCGCGCCCGCTGCTGGCCGCTCCTCGGAGAAGAGAAAACCGCATGGGCATAAACTTTTGGCGTTCCCCGCGGCTCTCTTGGATCTGCGCTGGCCCCCCCCCGGCGGCGCCTCCGGCGCCGCCCCCGGCACGCTCCGCGCGCAGGGGAGGGGGCCTCCGGCGCGGGCCCAAGAAGCCCGCGCGGACCGCCACGAGCTGGTGCTCGCGTGTGTTCTCTTTTTGGTTCCTCCGGCGCCCGCTGCCGCGATAACGACGGGGGACAGAGCCCACCGCTCAGACCACAGACCGCAGTTTTCGCCCGCCTCGGGGCTGCGCGGCGGGCGGGCACCGCCAGCAGCACTGCGCGGGGCGGGGCGACGGCACGCTGCGTGCGCCGGCGCAGCCGGGCGCCTGCGCCGGTGCGGCCAGGAAGCAAAAGCCGCCAGCACCATCCCCATCCCAGTGTTACGTCGGGCGTGTGTCCCTCTACAGGAGGAGTAGTCAAAAGTAGTCAAAAAGTAGTCTGGGAGACGATTTGTTTTAAGAATGTTTGACCATGTTGGTGCATTTGTTGGCCATGTTCCAGTCTTCGCCCACAATCTGCCTGTAGGCGGACATGCCCGACCTAATCCCAGTGTCGAGCGGGGCTAGGAGTAAGTCGGGCGCGTCCCTCTACAGGAGGAATATTCAAGGATAGTCAAAAAATAGGCTGGGGACGATGTTTCGACTGTTTTTGGCCACTGTGGAGCATGTTTTGACTATGTTTTGTTTGTTTTTCTTCGAAGTTCCGCCTGTAGGGGGACATGCCCGACCTAATCCCAGTGTCGGGCGGGGCTAGGACGAGGATAAGTTTTTTCCATAGCGTTCTGGAACGCTGTCGGAGCTTTCCACAACGCTCTGATAAGGCCGAAGGGCCCAAGACATCCTCCAGAGCCGCCAGATCTCAGAGATTATCGATATATCCTCACCCGATGTTCTTCTCGTCTTGGCCTCGTCTTACAATCGTCATGACCATCAGCATCATCACTATCGTCATCCCAATTATCCTCTTCGTCCTCCTCCCCCTCTGCTCCCCTCCCTCTTCCCCCTCATCATACTCCTACTCATCCTGTTGTCAGGAGGAGCTGCAGCAGCACCAGGAGAAGGAAGAGGAGAAGCAGGAGCAGCAGGAGGAGAAGGACTCTGGGGAAGACAAAGAGGAAGAGAAGGAGGACGACGACGACGACGACGACGGCGACGCGGAAGAGAATTTTTTTAGGAGAAGGAGCAGGATTTGGAGGAGCACGAGCTGGAGCAGGAGATGGAGGAACAGGAGGCGGTTGAGTGAGGGGGGGCGAGCTTGAAGGGACAGGATTTGGGGAATGCGTCGACGCCAAAACCGCCGACGACGACAGCGACGCCACCGACGACCTCGGGAGGTCCCTGGAGGCCTCCAGAGGAATTCGAAAATACCCAAATGTCAGCACACAGTAACTTTCCGTTGCTCCCGAAATTCCTAACAGGTTCAGAAAAAAACCATTGACTTCTTCTGGAGGCCGAAATTTCCAAACGCTCTCAAAATCGACCCCTTCGATGAATTCTGGAGGCCAAGCAAAAAGCTCCCAAGACATCGATCGACGACGATGATCTCCGCTTCTGAGGGCTAGAACCCATTACAAGGATTCCAAAACCTAGACCTTCGTTCCTCGATCGACGACGGCGATCATCACCACCACGACGATAACCCGCTGAAAGTCAGCCCCTCGACCTTTCCCGAGCGCGTTCGGACAAGGATTCCGAGGCGAGTCCAGCCGTGGCGACGAGGGAGCCCCAAGAGGCCCCAAAAGATTCTCCAAAACCGAAACCACGACGACGACGACGACGACGACGACGACGACGACGACGACGACGACGACGACGACGACGACGACGACGACGACGACGACGACGACGGCGGCGACGGCGACGGCGACGACGACGACGACGACGCCGACGACAAGGGCTGCCGGCGAGCCGCGCGCGAGCCCCGCCGCGACGCCGCAGGCCGCGGCGGCCGCGGCGGCCGCGCCCGCGCCGGAGCCTGGCGGGCCGGGGTGGAGATTCTGAGAGCGGCGGAGGCGGCCCGCGCTGCGGGAGGGCCGGCTGCGCGCAGGAGCGCCCCTTCGCCAGGGAGGCCTCTGGTGCGGGCCCCGTGGGTGTCCGCCGATCGCCGAGCGCGGTCTTCCTCCTCCTCCTCCTCCTCCTCCTCCTCCTCTCCTCCTCCTCCCTCCTCCTCCTCCTCCTCCTCCTCCTCCTCCTCCTCCTCCTCCTCCCCGCGCCCCCGGAGGGCCGCGCACCAAGGGTCACTCGTGCCCAGGGTCACGCGTGCGTGTCGTCGAAGGGTCGGCTGCGCGCAGGAGTGGCCCTTCACCGGAGTGGCCTTTGGTGTGGGCTCACGGGGGTCCTCCTCCTCCTCCCCCTCCTCCTCCTCCGCCTCCTCCTCCTCCTCCTCCTCCTCCTCTTCCTCCTCCTCCTCCTGGACAGGGGCGCTTGCTAATCAAGCGCGGCTGCGCTGGCGACTTCGGCTAGAGATGACTCAGGGCGCTCAAGCCCTGCGCTTGTCGGCAATCACCGCGGGAGCGGGCGGCGGCAGCATTGGCATGCGCGCTTGGAATCGTCCTCCCCACGGCCTCCTAACGCGCTGGTGCGGGTTCTCAAGGGTCCTCCAGCATTGGCCTGCGTGCTCGGATCTGGCCCTCCCGCAGCCCCCTGAGGCGGGCACCACAGGTCACTCTTTCTGGCGTCGCTCCTGCGTGGGGCTGAGAGGGATGGGCGACGACGACGGCAAGGGGGGCTGCGTGGACGAAGAGGAAAACGGAGGGCGACGACGACGAAGGCGACGGCGGCGGCGGGGACGACGACGACGACGACGACGACGACGACGACGACGACGACGACGACGACGACGACGACGACGCAGATGACGACGACGGACGACGAGGACGACAAGCACATAAGAGTTCTGGGGGGGGGGGGGGGCGTTGCTTGCCCCAGAATCGGTGACTTCATGGTCACCCGTATGGTTTTCCACGTATGGTCTCCCGCACGGTCTCCCCTACGGTCTCGCGTATGGCGTCCCGTATGGCCTCCCGTGTGGTTTCCCGTATGTTCTCCTGTGTGGTTTCCCGCACGGTCTCCCGCACGGTCTCCTGCGTGGTCTCCCACGTGGTCTCCCGCATGATCTCCCGTACTGGCTCTTTTTCTTCTGGTACTATGCATGGTCTCCCGCACGGTCTCCCCTTATATTCTCCCGCATGGTCTTCCGTATGGCCTCCCGTACGTACAGCACAGTATAGTGTGTGATTTGCTATGTCATTGTGCTGATGGGGCTCTTCGGCCGCCAGAGTGCAGTGTTGTCTGCTGTCTCACTTTTTAGCGCTTCCGATGGACCTCCGAGGCCTCAAGCTGGCGCCAGCATCGCCCAAGAGAGGAATCGCCCTCAATCCGTGAAACTCTTGCAAATGGTTGAAGCGAATGTGCGCGGCGCTAAGGGGAGAGCCGCATTTTGAAAACGACCCGCCCTCCATCTGTGAACCGTTGCCATGTTTTAGTTTAAGCTTCAGAGTCCTGATTGGTGAGGAAGTCTCTGGCAAAACGCCCGGCCCGCCCTAAAAACTGGCCTCGGGGTGCGACAGGGAGAAGTTACTTATAAGGAGGTGGAATGGAGGAGGAGCAGGAGGAGGAGGAGGAGGAGGAGAAGGACGACGACGAGGACGACGAGGACGACGAGGGAACTTGGAGGGCCGCGGTCTGGGGGGGGGGCGTCTCGAGGCTCTCTTCGGCGGCCAAGAGGGGCCCCGCCTCGGCCGTCGGGGCCCTCTTTGCCCGTCGGGGGGGGGTCTCTGGAGGCTGCCCTGGGGGGGGCCCTCGTGGGGCCCTGTTGGTGCGCGGGGGGGAATCTGTTGGATCCGCATAACATTAACCTTTTGGAGCCTTTTAGAAAAACATGAACCACTTTGGGAGGTCCGCGCGGATCCAAGAAACCCGCGCGGAGCGCCAAAAGTTTATGTTGGGGATCCTTTTGGGCCGTCCTGCGGCCCTCTCGAGGCTGTCCCTGGCACGACTGGGGGCCTCCTGGGGCCCTCGCGGGGCTCATCGGGGCTCCGCTTGGCTCTTTCCCTGAGCCCTCTCGAGACCATCTTGGGCCGAGAAGAGCCTGGGCCATTCAAAGTCATTCCAAACTCCTGGGGAACCCATTTGGTGTTTGCACGATGTGGGCCCTCGTCGAAGGCAGTTGGGCAACGCAGGTAGGCCCTCGTCGTGGCCCTCTCCTTCTTGGTGCATCGCAGGCCTCTTGGAGCCTCAATTGCATTGGACACGCCCCCCCAGCTGGCCGCTCTGGGGGGACGCAAACATCCTGAAGTCAAAGCGCACCCCCAGCAGACACAGCGTGCATGCACACAGGCCTCTTGGAGCCCCTTCGGCGCCCCTTGGGGGGCGCTGTAGCGTGCCTCCCGAAGGTAACATGGCGGGCCCGCTTGGCAGACCTGGTGGCCCCGCTGGGCGGCCTCTCTTGGCGGGCCCTCTTGGCAGACCTGGTGGCCCCGCTGGGCAGCCTCAGAGCGGCCCCGTGGAGTGCCCGATGGAGCGTCGGGCCGCTCGGAGGGCCTCGGGCCGGGGGGGGGGGGGGGCCCTGGGTAACGGCGACGCTGGCGCAGGGTGGGGCACGTCGGGGCGGGGGCGGCGCTGCGATCGCCAGGGTGTGCGCGAGAGCTCGCCGGCACCAGCTGCTCGGGGCGTCCGGGCCCCGGCGGGGCTTTCGGAGGGCCTCGGGAGGGGGGGGGGGGCGGGCGAGGCGTGCACGGAAGTGTGCCGGGGAGGGGCGGGACCTCCAGGGGGCTCAACAGAGAGGCCAGGCCAGACAGCACCCAGCACTGAGCAGTAGCATTGTCTTGGTCGCGCCGCGGCGGGGCGCGCGGGAGCACAGCGAGGCACAGGGAGGAGGGAAGGCGCGAGGCGAGGGACTCCTCCTCCTCCTCCTCCTCCTCCTCCTCCTCCTCCTCCTCCTCCTCCTCCTCCTCCTCCTCCTCCTCCCCTCCTCCTCCTCCTCCTCCTCCTCCTCCTCCTCCGGCCGGAGAGGCCGAGGGAGGAGGGAGGCGCACGCAGGCCATGAAGGTCTGCGTGTGCGCGCCGAGGCGCAAAAGCCCTCGGAGTGCGAGGGGCAGTCCCGTGCGCGCTCGTCGTGCAGGCACGGAGGGCGGGGGGCGCTGCCCTCGCGCAGCTCGGCCCAGGGTCCGCCTCCGCTGGCCTCTTCTCCGAGTGGCCTTGCCGAAAATGGAGGAACTGGGACGGAGCTGCAAGAGGACGGGAGCAAAGAGGGGAAGAGGCTGGAGGGTATGCTGAATTGGGTGTCGGGGCGCTGGATCCCCGATGCTTCTGCACGTGTCCAGACTGCCCACGAGCATCATCGGAAGAAAGTGGCTCATCCTTTCGGCGTGCTTCATCATGCTTACCAAGTGCCTGCCAATCCCGCTGAACAACACCGCACTGATCGTTTTAAGGTAATGCCGAGTGGTGCTGAATCAACCGTATTTATATTGCAGATCGTCTTTGCCGTCTTTTTGCCATCTCTGGTAGAAGTTCATGTTGTTGTGGCGTCTTGAATGGGCAGACGGGGCTATGGTAGCATCGTCGTGGCGTCCCGAAACACAAAACAAATTCATGTCAAAGCGCATCAAGAGGGACATTGTATGCAAAGGAGTGAGCAAGAACGAGCCAGGTATTCGCGACAGCCATTTTATGGGTGCCGCGCATGAGGCATGCTAACCGTTTGCAAACTTGGTTCACAGGCACGCACGAAACAATTTCGAATAAAAAGTGGCCCGACCATTGCGCGAAGTATACAGTAAGCAAGCTTCAGCACACAAACAGCACGTGTTGTGAGCACGCCGACGAAGATAAATGCGTTACAGGTGATCGACAAAATGTAGGGGGTAGGTGTTGCAACGTATGAAACAGCACGAGAGTATCATGATAGCATGTGCGTGGGCCACACAAAAAAACGTGCGAGACACAGTACGACATGCATGTGACGCCAACGAACATCAGTTTTGATAAGATCATGGGCAGACGCGAAATAAGCATGCCGAATGTATTTTGACGCCGCTGTGAAGTTTGGAACGAGTCTCGAACGACTGCGTGCTGAGCACAAGTGGAGCGCGAAACAACAATGAAATCCGCACGTTGTGCAGGGGTTTTGCGACAGTAGCGCTTTCGTCGGAGATTAAGACATTGTGTGTCCAACGCGCACGTCAGCGACTAGTGATATCTGTCTCATCTCGCCAAACAGTTACCCACTCTGGAGAGTTACGCATCATTCTCTAGCAGAGGTCGCCCGCGTGGCCGCCATCGTCAGCGGCAATGTGGTAGCGGACAGGGACAGGGGGGGAACATCGACCCCAAATCCCCAATTCGTCATCGCTCAGGGCCTGCGTACCTCGTCCTGCCCTGGAACGCACGGTTTCGCTATCGGGGGCCGATCACAATTCGTCATCCAGGCACGCGTCTTTTCGCAGCCCGAATGGTTCGCCGGAGAGGCAGGACGACTCGGTGATTCCCCAAACAGCTTTTGCATTAAAGGGATCTTATCCTTTAGATAGTGCTTGCACTTAGGGGTTCTTCCATGTGTTCTAAGGAACTGGGCCTGTGCGTCGGTCTGCCAGCTATGTAGTTGTCATCGCCGCCTCGTCGCCGGTCATCGTCTGGGCTTGTGCGTCGATTTGGCGGCTATGTATTCGCCGTCTCCGCCTCGTCGCCGCCCGTCGTCTGGGCCTGTGCGTCGGTCTTGCGGCTATGCTGTCGCCGTCGCCGCCCCGTCGCCGCCTAAATTGCACAACGTAGATTGCACCGCAGAGTGTGTACCACATAGATCACACCACATAGATTGCACATCGGTTGCACAGCATATATTGCACAACATGGAGTGCTCAACCTAGACTGCACTACATCTATTGCAACAACAGATTGCACCATATAGAAGGCACGACGTAGACTGCACCACATAGATTGCCCCACATAAAGAGCACAACATGTACATCAATGAGGTTGCGCCTCACCGATTGCACGGC